ACGATCTTTATACCCCTTCCCTTCTTATTTTTATCATTTCTCACTATCTAACACACTATATATTTTACTTATTCCATTTGTTTATCGATCTCTCGTTAGAATGTATGCTCCATGAGGGCAGGGATGCTTCTTATTCACTGATGTCCCCCTCCCCAGGACCTAGCACACAGTAGGTGCTCAGTAAATATTTGCTTAATGGTTGAATATAAGTCTCCAAAATCTCCTCGCTGGATGATTGCTGCAGTGAACTAACTGGTTTCCTTGGCCTAATTCCACTCCTTCTCAAAGCATCCCCCACCCCGGCCCAGTCATCTTCCTAAAATACAATCTCATCTTGTCACACCTCTAGTAAAAAGTACTTTGACGGCTTACCACTGCTCCTTACAAAATACAGTCAGCCTTAGCACACACATTCAAGACACTCCGTGATGAGGCCCAACCTACTTTTCCAGTCTGGTTTCCTCCTGTCTGGTGCCTGCCCATCAGCACACACTCTACTCAGGTGGTGCCAAACGTTGTTCCTGCTGCTCACTCACACTGGAATGCCTTATACAGGGCACAGGCTTTGCTGTGTTATTTTCACCCTTGCGGTCTAGCCTGAATGTCTTGGTCCCCAGTGGGGGGTTACTACATCCTATCCCAACAGCCACTGCATTCATTTTCACCTCCAAGGTCACGCTCTCTCTCATAACCGCGTCTCCACGCCGGTCATCTGGGCCTTGCAATCAGCTGGAAAGTGAAATGTCTTTAGATCAAAAATTGAAACTGAGTGGGAAGACCCTGGTGGACCCCCGAAAACTGAAAAGGAAGTATGCTTCCTTCACTGGCTCGAGAGGCAAGATGGAATGTGCCAGGTAGATAAGGGAGCAAGGGCGAGGAATCTGGCAAAGGGCCTTCCCAGTCATGCCAGCCCATCTAAGCAGTCACCTGGTGAGACTCAATAAATCTCCCTGTTATTCTTACTAGGAGTCTTAAAATAAGTAGACACTGCCTTTTTTTTTTTTTTTTTTTTAAACCCTTTGTACTTTCTGTAATTATTTCAGTTTTACTTTTTCACTGTTTAATAGATTTCCTTTAGAGAATGGCCACTATTCCCTCCTGGGGCTTCCGAGTGAGAATTTCAAAACGGATCCAAACAATTCCTCTGGTCCAACAATTCTTCTGCTAGGAATTTAACCAACAAAAACACACATGTGCACAAAGACTCTGCTCCAGGCACACCAGCCTCCTCACTGATCCCTGAACACACCTGGCACACTGCCACCATAGGGCATCTGACCCACGTGCCCTCTCCTGGAAAGCTCTTGTCTCTCAGAGGTCTGCTCGGCTCCCCTGCTCCCCTCCTTCTTCAAGCCAGTGCTCAGATGTCGCCTTATCGAAGAGGCCTACCCTGACCTTCTCATTTCAACTTGTAACCTGCCCTCCACCCCACATCCCGAGCCTCCTCATTCTGCTTTACTTTTTTACCCCAAAGCACTTATTTTCTAACCCATTTTTTTCTACTATGTAATTTACTCATTTAGTGTGCCTATGGTTAATTGTCTCCTCACTTAGAATGTAAGCTCTACAAGGGTAGAGATTTGTTTTGTTCGCTGATGTATCCTAAACATACTGAATGGAGCCTGGCACACTGAAGAGCTTACTGAGTATTGGTTAAACATTCGTTTAAAGTATCGGTTGCAGTATTGAAAACAGTAGATTGGAAATGGCCTAAATGCCTACTAATAGTGGGCTGATTAAATAAATTACAGCATTAGTACACAGCAGAAGTAGAAAAGACTGAAAAAGACTGAAGTAGAGTGATAGGGAACGATTTTCAAGATACACAGTACAGAAGAGTGTGCTTAACAAGCTACCATTTGTCTAAAAAGGGAGATAAAACAGTCATAGGTTTGTGTGTAGATATTAACAGAGTATTTCTGGAAGGATGCATACTGGAGCCTGGAATGGTAGGGAAGCTTACTTTACATAGTGTTGAGTCTGCTGTTTTTTAAACCATGTGCCCATGTCACTATTCAGTGATAAGATACTGCTTAAAAATAGAAAGAAAAAAGGAAGAGAATAAGAGAGAAAAATAAAAACCAAGCAGGGGAAGAGCCAGGGATCTCCAGTACAGCTGCCTCCAGTTCTCCCAAAGCTCTGCAGTGCTCGCAGCTTGGAGGAGTCTTTTCCTGAAGGAAGCGATCCAGCAGGGGTTCAGAGAGGGAGAAACCTTAAAGATTTCACAACAGGGAAGGGTGGGAAGGGCAACAACAGAACGCCCCGAGTATTCGGTGCCGGCTGACGGCGGGAAACACAGAACGCCACCAGAGTAAAGACTGGGCCGGGTCTTGGGAATAATGTGAAGAGTCACCCCAAGAAGCCACGAAAGTGCGGGAACAAGGAAGAGGAGGAGCTGAGGGCCCACCCAGGGGGCTGGGGAACGGGGCTGCAACACACGCCCGATCAGAGAGGGGCCGGGCACCAGTCACGTGCACGAGGTTCCGCACCCCTTGAGGAAAAGAAACACGGTGCATTCTGGTGCCAGTAGCCCAGGAAGAACCAGGGCGCACCTGGTTCTCGGCAAGCCCAGGGCCCCTCCCGCATCTTGTAGTTGCTCTGCGGTCGACGAGCCACCCCACTCACCCCTTGCCGCAGCCGGGAACTCCCGTAACTCCTGTCTCACAGCGTCCAAAGCCGCGTCCGCCATGATGACGCCGCCGCCGCCCCTCCCTCCCTCCCTCTCTCCTTAAGACCTCGCCCCGGGCCCGAGGCCCCGCCCTTCCCTACGGCCTCAAGCCCGGGCTCCCAGCCCTCCCCCACGCCTCGTCCTCCCCCACACTGCCGCTTAAGTCCGCAGCTTCCAACTGCCCACCCCCATACACCCCCAGACGACCACAGATTTTGTATCCACTCGGCGAGAAGCCACGCCTCCTCTCGCCTGCCCCACTCGCTGGCAACCCAGGGTTAGCAAATGATTGTGTTTATTGACGAGTTCATACATCAGTACAAACGGACATGTTAAAAACAGCCTCTGCCCTGTGAGACCGGGGGAGGAGGGTAGCGCCAATGCCTGGACAAAGTATAAAAGTTATAAATAAGGGGCTTTCAAAACGGGGTCAGGGCAGATCTGAACGGGGACGGCAGCCGCTGGTGGCCTCAGACATGCAGAAGGGGGGCGGGCGCTGGCCACGAGACCCCGCACGCTGGGCTGGGGGTAGGGGAAGGGCGGCCACCTTCTCACAAACCTTGGCAGCAGTGTAGCGCCTTTTCCTCATGAGGGACAGACTGGCTGAGGATGGCCAAAAACCCAGCCCAGAGGGCCAGGCCTGAACCCCATTTGCGGTGGACTGCGGCTGGTGTGCGGGTTAGGGGTACGGTGGGAGTGGATTTCTAACTCTGACAAGGGCAGCTGCAGCCCTCCCGGGGCCCACTCTCAGCTGTGAGAGTTCTTGGGCCAGGATGTCTTTGCACGTTGGCCAAGCAGGTGGTGGTAGCAGAGAAGTGAGGGTGAAATAGGTTTCACCTGTTCAGGTGACTGATGCAAACAGAGCTGCGCACCCTTCAGAATCTAATTTCTTGCTAAGCCTCTGCCTACAGAGCCAGCAGAGCCCATATGGAAATGGACTTCTGTGGCCTGGAGCTGTGGTAGAGCTGCCCTGACCGACCTGAGGCAGAGGAAGCAGTAGGGCCTAGAGACACATGTTCTTCACCCCAACTCTTCAACAAGTGCTTCGCTACTTGGTCCTACTCTACTCGCCCACTGTGCCCCAGCTCCTTCCCCTCACCCCTAAAACTGCCCTTCTAATTCTAATCTAGCCCCTGACCTCTGCCACTTACCTGTCCCACCTTCCACCTTTCCAGCGTGTCTCTTGGCCCCTGCTGCAGTCCCACGTGCCTCCCTCTCTTCAACCTCCAGTACCCAGTACCCCTGGGTGCCCAGCACTGCCTTTGAGGCCATCTCACATCAGCTAGGCTGTGGACACTAAGAATCCAGATTTCAGGCTTAGTGTGTTCCTTCCCTTTTCAAGTTCTGTGATAAGAGCCAGGTTGGTGAAGCTAGGGCGGGATGTGAGAGGAAACCAGGTACACAACAGCCAGCCAAGTGCCCTAGCAACAAACACACAACTTTGTGTGTGTGTGTGTGTTTAGGTTTCACCTGTGGCCAAGGTCCTTAGAAGGTGGGCCAGCGCCCTGTAAACTATGAGGGAAGTTCCAACACAGACTTCTGACTGAGCATCACTCAGGATGCAGGGAGAAGGTGGCCTCGGCTCCAGGAGCCTACTGGGGACCAGGGCTGGAGGAGAGGGAAGGCCAAGGGGCTGAGGGAAGGAGGCCAGGGCTTCATGTTTGCCCAGCAGAGGGCTTTACTGTCCTGCAGCAACGTCCCACAGCTGGCTCCACAGTTCCGGCCAGGAGAGGGGGGGGGGGCACAGGAAGAGACAATGCTAGGGCTCTCTTGGAGGGGGAACGGGAGTGGAATGTGGCGGCTCGGGCCTTGATATCAACTCAAGCCTCCTGATGGCTGGGAGTGCTCCAGAGGGCTCTGCCTTCCTGAACTGCCAGCAAGTGGGGAAAACAACCCCTGCTCTGGCAGCCAGGGGAGTGCAGCACCTCTACCCCACTGAATACCCTGTGTGTGCTCCACCCCAGGGAGCTGATCCCTGCAGTAATTTCAAATGGCTTCTCAGAAGGGAGGGCTAGCCTTTCCCGATTTCCCCCAGATGAGGCAGGCTGCCCTCCTACTCCTCACAGCACCAAGATGACAAAGGCCCAAGACCTACCCCTGCGTGAGCCATTGGAGGGGCTGTGGAGGCAGGAGTTCCAAGAAAGTGAGGCAACAGTCAGGGAAATAAATTAATAAATACAGGGACCCCATGAGGAACAGCTGGGAAAGCTGCTTCCCCTCTGAGCACTGATCCCTGCTATCCACTCCAAGCAACCCCACAGGTTTTGATGAGTGGAGGAGGGGCTGCAGTTTGGAATCGAGGGAGCATTCACTTGGGACAGGCTTCTGGAACTCAGAGTCTGCGTTCCATGCGCCGCTCCACGGCTCGAAGCAGCAGCTCTGAGTATTGCTCCAGCAGGGCCTGTGTCTGCTCGGCACCCGCGGCCCCAGGGCTCCCGCCTGGGCTGGACAACACGGCCCCGGCCAGGGCCTCTAGCTCCTGCCGCACGGAGGAGAAGGTGTTTCTGAGGAGCTGGGTGATGCGACTTTGCTCTGCTGAGGGTGTCTTGCAGCTGGCCACCTGCAACAGGACCCCGGAAGTGAGGTGGGGGAACAGTGGAGGGGACTGTCAATGGATGTAGAAAAGGGAGGGGCCCTGCCGGTGTCCAGCCTGCCCCAAAGAAGGGACTGCATGCCCTGCTAGGTGTGGCTGGGAGTTGCACACTCCAAGACCAGCAAGTATGACCAGAGGCTAGGGGACGGAGGCAGACCCTGGGGGGTGACTGTCAGATCTGGCACCGTCTACATCTTGTTAGCAACTCCTCTTTCAAATCTTGGCCCCTGCTGGACTGTCCCCTATGTTTAGGGTGGCCAAGTCAGTTTTGAATATGAAAAGGGATACTACTAATAATTATACTTGGACAACAGGCATAAGCTGCACGGTCCTAAGCAAACTAGGACACGTGGGCTCTCTACACCTCACCCTCCTGTCTGAGGATGTCTCCAGCTGTTAGCCAGAAATGACCCATACGTGCTCAGTTCACGAGGCCTGGCCTGGCTTCTAACCCACTCACCTACTCAGAATGTTCCTAACTGCTCCACCCACCCATCGGTGCAAGAGCCTTATCATTATGTTCCAGATACTCAGCTAGCACTCCTGACCTGCTGTCTTCCTGCCGGGGGGTACCCAACACGTACCAAGTGGTAGAGCTGCACGGCCTGGCGCACACTGCCCTGGAGCTCTGCCACAAGCTGTTCACACTGCTCCAGGCTCACGGCTGGTTCTGGGAGGGACAGACAGCTCAGTAAGACCCAGCAAAGCTGCTCCTTTGGGCCTCCCCACCCAGGGGTCACTCAGAGGAAGAGAGGCCTACCCCCAGCCCACCCAGCATCGCATGCCCTCAGTCCCTTCCTCTTGCCTCCTTCCTTCCCGACACCCTCCCAACACCACCCAGGAAACAAGATCCAGAGGAAAGGGCCAGCTCCAGCTCCAGTCCCAGGGGCCGGAAGGCACTGAAGGGGCAAGTGGGTCATAGGGAGATCATGAAGGTCAGCAGGAGTGTCTCACCATCAGGGGTGTGACTTAATGGACCGAAACAGGAGCAGACAGGACGAAATACGCCAGAGGCTGGATGCACAGAAATGGGATGGAGCCAGAGACTGGCCAACAGACACGGGAGAGAGAGGACGGGGCAGGAGATGAGAGCTGGGAGCTGTGCACACCTGAGTCCCGGCTCCGGGCTGCCCCCAGCCTGGTGCGTTCCACAGGGCTGGGAGTCTTCTCAGGGGGTGGGGACTGCAGGCTCTCAGGGCCTCGGAGGAGGCTGCTGACCGGCAGCTGCTGGGCATGGGGACTGTTGGGCCCAGGCTGAGCCTGGCCCTCGGTCCTAGGCTTGGGAGTGGCACCCTCCCCCAAACAGGCCCGTCTCTCAGATGTACTGTGAGCCTTCGCTAGGCCCGCTGCGGGGCCAGGCTGTTCTGCCTCACCAGGGGCCTGGCCCTTGGTAGCAGGTGAGAATGTGGCCAGGGTAGGGCGATCGGGCAGTGGCTTTGGGATATCCAGGACCAGGTGAGCCCGGCTGGGCAGGGCCAGCTTGCTGAGTGGTGAGACTCGGATGGGGGCAGGAGCTTGAGGTTCGGCAGCCAGGCCCAGGTTCTCCCCAACAGAGATGCTGCGGGATATCTTGGCCATGGAACTGGTGGTGGGGTTCTGGTAGGAGTGGGGTTGAGACAGACGGCTGTCAGCTTGGGGCAGGGAGCACAGGCGCCCCTGGGCCTCCATCTCCTGTAAGAGCAACGGGCCTGGTGGAGGGGCCTCATCTGCAGGGGAGACAGAGACATACACAGGTCAGGTGGTGAGGACGGCGTCCCGGGTGCTAAGGCTCAACTCTCCAGGAGATGCTGTGCCCTGCACATACCCACTAAGGGGCTCCCACTGGCAAGCACAGTGACACATCAGGGCCACGTGAGGCCACCTTCCCCTAGCACGCCCATGGGCTCCACGCTCCCCACACCTAGAGCTGAGCCCCCCAGGCTCCTCACCCTGTGGCACCAGACTCTGCACCGACCGGGCTTTCTGGAGTCCACCCGAGGCGCTGGCTATGGCGACTCTCTTGGGGGCCCAGCTGCTGTCCGGGTTGAGACGGCGTCGTGGCAACAGCACAGGGGCTGCCTGCTGGGGGCCAGGGTTCCCAAGGGAAGGCCCCGCCTCCGGGGGTGCTCCTGGAGGATTGGCACCACTGCCTCTCAGCTGCTCGCCAGAAGCCTGCGGCACCTGGGCTGGCCTCGATGTCATTGCCAGGCTTGAGGAAGATGGGGATGGTTCCCTAGCGAGGATATGTGGATGAAGGCCCAGAGAAGGCTCAGGGCTCCTCCCTGCCAAGACGGGGAGAAGCTCTCACAGCACTAAAGAGGCACTAAGAGAGAAGGGTGGGCACAAAGCCAGCCAGGACAGCTGTCCCAAAACTTGGAGTGCACAATGCTGCTGGGCATGGAAGACAGAGCCTTGGAGAGAAGAGGGCTGAAGGCTGCCCCAGGCGCAGGGCTGACGCTATTGGGAGCACTGCGAGGTTAGGAGAGCTAGAGCTCCTTGTAGGAAAGTGAGCTGCTGTGGGGACAGTACCTGAGTGCGGGGCTCTGTACTTGCAACAGGAATCGTGAGGAGATGCTCCGAGACTCTGTCCGCTCTGGTACCCGGACTGGGCCCCCTGCCAGGGTGACAGAAATCAGGGACTGAAGCAAGCTCTTGCCCAGACTCTGCCTCCCCTAGAAGGCAGCCCCCGGGCATGGCCTGCCCTTGGACCCTCAGCGGGGCAAGGGGAAAGAAGGGTAGATTGCAGTGACCAATGTGACCGCACCTGGAGCAGCCCCATTGGCCAGAGTCTCAAAGTGCTGTTTTAGAAACTGCTCCTGGTCCGGGGTATGGGGGCTGCCTTCCTGCACCCCGTAGGGGCCAGTGCCTCCCTCCTCTTCCTCCTCTTCCTCATCACCCTCGGCTGGCTCTTCAAGGTCTGAGGAAATGCCATCCACACTCAGGGGCTCCGTGCTCTCGGAGTCTGGATGTGGGGGAGGGGCAGAGAAGCATCACGCTGCACCCCTCTGTCGCCAGAGCCTCCACTCCCACCTCAGTCCACTGACCCGCGTGGTCCCGGCCCTCCCTCAGGACTGCAGCCTCACCTTCATTGGGATGCTCAGGGCTGGAAAGGCGACTGCTGCTGAAGTCCACGGAGCAGGCACTGTCAGGGCTGTGCTTCTCTGAGCCCCTGCTGCCGGCATACACTCTTCCCAGGGTCCCTCGGGCTGGTGCCTGCACCTGAAACTCACTGCCAGAAAGGCCAAGACGGGAAAGAGGAGGCAGTGAGCAATGGTGAGCAGCAGCCCCACTGGACCCCTGCCTTCCTTCTGCCCCACCCATGAGCAGGACTGGGGATGAGGCAGTGGTGGGCAAGCCCTGAGTGCCTGGGGCCAGCCCCCCACCCAAATACAGAACCCTCGGAGGGAAGGGAAGAAGAGGCGGGTTGTGCATGGCCCCAGAAGTCTGCAGGACCCTTGCCTGGTATCCAGGGTGGGGCTGTCACTTGGCTCCGGGTAGACAATACCGTCTTCGATGGGTGCAGGCTCCAGTTCTTGGGCAAAGACCCCTTCATCTTGGGACAACAATCGGATAATGTGGGGGCAGGAACAGGGTTGGGAAGCCTGAGGCCGGGGGCGCTTTTCATTCTGGAAACACACAAAGGGAAACACACATTCTGGAAACATCACTGGGGTTGCTGACGTGAGTGAGGGTCTGGGAGAGGAGGTAGAGGTGGGCAAGGATCCAGTGGGCACCAATTCTGGGGGAAGCTCCGACTCTGAGGACAGGCACCGAAAAGCCAGGCTGAGTTCCAACTAGTGTTCTTGAGCTTCTGGAATAACTACATTAGCACTCTGGGCTGCCAACCTCCAGCCACCACTTCGTATCACGAGCCCTCCAAGGAACCCAGCCCAGGACAAAGGCTACCCTTTGCTTCTGCACCCCAAGCACCGTACCGCGCAGCCTAGCCAGCCCCACCTGACTTTGCAGCTCAGGTTACCCATGTCCCACAGAGGCAGAGCAGGCACAGCTGGACCAATGCTCAGGCCTCAGCTGTTGGCACAAGGCTGGCTAAAGCTGCTTGGAGATCTCTAGTTCGCTGGGAGAAAGCAGGCTCACCGGGCTAGCATGTGAGGTCTCAGGGGCCTGCCGACCATGCTTCCCAGGACCTGAAGGGCTCACAGCCAGAGAGTCCTGGCTAGGGCCCCGAGGAGTTGGGGCCAGCGCCTCCAGCTGCCGCAGGTCCAGCATGGAGCGAACACTCAGCTCCACGCCTGGCTGAGCCCAGCGCCCCCTTCTTCTGGGTCCTTGGTTGGCTGCAGGAGCTGGGTCCAGGAACTCCTCTGTCTCCTGTGCCTGGTGTGGGGAGGGGGTGGGAGAGGAATAACAGTAACAATCACACAACAGGCTTAGCAAACACTCACACGTCACCTACTGTGTGCCAGGCACTTTACACGTATTAGTTCATTTAATCCTCACAACCACCTTATGAAGGAGGTACTACCATTCGCCTCACATGTACAGATGGGAAAACTGAAGCACAGAGGCCTTAAGTAACTTGTCCAAGTCCCACAGACAGTCTGCCTGCAGGTTACAGCTCAGGTAGTCTGGCTCCAGAGTTCAGGCTCTCAGCTTCACTCTGTGTCCCGTCCTAGAGGACCTTCTGGTCTTCGTCTTCACCGGTGTCATGGACACCTCAGAGCTGGGAGTCTCTAAGAGGCCCCCACTCTGAGGACAGCCCCAAGTCCATTCACAGCACCAAGGACAGACCAATGGCCCCGGCCTGAGACAAATGGCCTGGTCAGAAGGCACCAGACACCAGACCACCATTATCCCATGAAACTGCTGCTGACAATGAAAGGTGCTGGAGCTTGAAACCCTGACGTGAGACAAGGGAAGGCTGGGCAGCCTCTGCAAGCCTTCTTCCTCCTCCCGGCCACCCTGAAGTTGCCACTCAGCTACTGGTCCTCTTAAGACCTTTTCCCTCTAACTCTTCTGGAAGTTCTGAGCTTATCTCTTCACCTGGGTCTTTAGAACTACAGTTTCTCCAGATTTCAGTTCTTTGGCCCTTTGACTTTCTTGAAATTTCCTTGTAACCATTCAGCTTAGACCCCTTTTCTACTCCCCACCTCATCATGTTCTTTGTTTACTCCCAGGCCCCCAGGAGGCTGAACAAGCGGAGTACTTCCCCTAGTGGTGACTAATCCTTGCAGGCCACAGGGAGGAAATACCTGGACTTCGTCACCCCTCACCTGGAACCAGCCCAGAGGCTCGAGCTCCCCTTCCTTGGACACAAGGGGTGGAGCACGTGGGCAGACCCCATGCCCAAATGCCTCCCCAGGTGCAGAGAGCCCTGCTTTCACCATCCTTCACTTCTGGTAACCTTGCAAGGACATTTTAATGACGGTGACTCACCCGACTCATCTCCCAGTGGGACAGGCTTCGGGGCAGGGCCGCGCTGGGCACCGAGGCTAGACAGAGACCGGCAGTCAGAGAGAGTTTCGCGCCCACCCACCGTGCAGCGCTGGTCCCACAGCAGCCCACGCCCTACGAGGCTACGACAATGCTCCAGTTTCCTCAGCTCACACCGCTCTCAACCCCGCAGCCTCCGAGAGGGCACATCTAGCCACTGCACCAACTGGTGCCTGTCTGGCCCACGTCAGACTTCCACAGACCTGGCTCTTTCTTGGTACCCTTGGCAAGGATGGGCAGAGCTGGGAGTTCTTCTTCTTCAGTGCCCTCGTCTTCTCCCTCCTTGTCACTGTCTGATGAGAGAGCTAGTCCAGGAGATAGCATCGATGGGGCCTCGTGCCTGAGTCCAAGACAAGGAAGGTCGGGGGAGGGGAGACTCAATAGGGGAAGAGGCCAAGGTCTTGGGTGTTCGTGTGAGAAACAGGTATTGGGAGATACAGAGTTTCTGAATGGCGGGTCCAGAGCAAGGAGGAGGAGCCGTGCCACCACAGTGAGCAGTCTGGATGCCCACCCACCGCTTGTCCATCCCCCACTCTCTGTTCTCACCGGTTGGGCCCAGCAGCCCTTTGGGGAGAGGACGGTCCTTGCTGCTTGCCCCCCCGCTGGTGCTGCCGCAGCTCGGCCAGACGCTGCCTCATGCCGATGGTCATCTCAGAGCTCAGGCGCCACACAAATATGCAGCTGGGGGAGGGCCACAGAGGTGGGTGAGGGAGGGGTAGGTAGGTAGGTCTCTGTGGGTGGTGACACCGCTAGTACCCCTTTCTCCACAGGCTGGCAAGGAGACCAGAGCCACCCTCCAGTGCCAGGTCAGGCCCAGCCAAGAAATATCCCTGTTCAGCCCTACTTCCCAAGACATCACTGAGTCGAAGAGAGGGGACGGACAGGGTGTGTTTGTGGCACAGAGGAAGAATCTGTGTCTCAGGGAAGCTGGCTTCTGCTCACCTGTCCCCTGACACGGAGATGAGATGTTTGCAGTCGTTACTAAATTTCATGCCAGTGACAATCTCTGTGAAGAACAAAGAATACGGCCTATGAGCCCCCCTGAAGTCCCAGCCAAGTGTCTGTCCCAACACACAGGGGGTTAGCTAGAGGGGAGGGACAGACAGTTCTGCTGGGACCCAGGAAACTAAAGGAAGAAAGAGGAAAGTTCCAGGGGGAGAGTATCAGGGCTACACTCACCTGAGTGGCCAAACATGGTAGCCACACACTCGCCTGAGGAGAAGTCAAAAATGGAAAGGCTCTTGTCGGAACAGCTGGTAGCAATGTAGATCCCTGAGGGGTCTGTCTGCACCTGAGGAGTGGGACATACAGCTGGACGAGGACAGGAAGCACCAGTCCCTCTCCACCCAGCACCCCGTTCTCCCGTTCTCTAGCCCAACGCCCATCGTACTGGGCCCTTACCTTAATCAGAGTGCCGTCCTCACCCTGCGACCCTTTAAACAGCTTCTTCTGCTTCCCGCTGCTGATGTTAAAGATCCTGTGAAGAAACACACTCATTCACATGAGGAGGAGGTCACGGTCACTTGGGTGGCAGCTAAGCCAGCATTTACCCGCAGCTCTGTTCTCTCTGGAAGCCACTCCCCAACACCAAAGGGGCTACCACCTCTTGGGTGAGGCAAAGTGCTCATTCTGTAGGCTCAAGGGGGCACAAAGTCCTGGACAAAAAGATAGACACAGGGCTGAGCTGAGCTGCCTAGAGCTGACCCCCTCGGGCATGAAGGAATGTGGTCAGATGGTCTGAGAAAGGGATGCCCACCGAATATTTCGATCCTGGCAGCCGATGGCTGTGTACTTCCAGCTGGGCTCCACGTCCATGTCATAGAGGGTCGTCTTCCGTACCACGTGGTGTGTCCGTGTAAACTGTACTCCATCTCCAGACTGCAGGGGTGGAGCATGAGGGCAGACCCCACGCCCAAATGCCTCACCAGACCCAGAGAGCCTTGCTTTTGCCGCCCTTCACCTCTCGTAACCTCAGGTAGGGGAATCGTAGCGACCCCACGCCCCACCCACAAACCCATTGCCCCATTCAGGGACACCCAGTAACCTCACCTTCTGTGCAGTGCGGAAGTAGATGCTCTTGTCTGCTCCACAGCTTATCATGCGGACTTGCCCATCGCTGGCTATGGAGGAAGGGGGCCTAGCTGTCCCCACTGCTCTCACCACAAGCAGGCCAGCCTTCCCTCTGCTTCCCTCCCCATATTCCCTCTATGGAGCTACTCTACCAGGCTGAGACAATCAATTAAAACCGGATGCTTCCCTCCAAACCTAGGCCTTCCTTTCCCCCCATTCTCAGCCAACCTGGTTGCTCAGGGTCCCCTGGACTAAGAGTCTATATTCTACCTGTCTTCCCATCCAGCCCCGGGCCGGCCAGCTGCTGTCCCACATGCCACTGTGACAGGCATACCCTTCCCACGGAGGCTGGACACAGGTGGCAGTGGCGGGGGGCAGGGAAGATGTCGGTAGTAGCCGGAAGAATGTATCTCAATTGCCCTGCCCCCTACCTGCAAACTTGACAGCTGTGATGGAGGATGAGTGCTCGTCCAACGTCTGCTGTAGGCTGTACTCCCGTCCAGCATCCAACACGTGGATCAGCCGGTCCCGGCTCGCTGATGCTAGGAGCTTCAGACCTGGGATTGGAAGAACTCCATCAGCCCACGAGTGCCCAGAGCAGGCCCCTATCTGGGTCCAGCAAAAAGGAACTGAGCCCCATATCCCTAAGCCAAGAGAACCAGAGAGAAGGGATAGAGCTGTCCTCCTCTAAACCTGCAATGACACCAAATGAGTCAAAGGATTTTCAGTCCCACATCCAACAGCCAGGATAGATGTAAGTGGCACTGGCAGGATTGGAGGAGCCCTGTGCCATTCTGGGCTGGGTACCAGGCATCCACTTTACCTGTGTCCGGCTTAGAGTACTCCAGGCATAGAATTTCTGAGTCATGGGCCTCCACCTTCAACATCTCATTTAGGGACTGTAGCTCATGCACCCTGCAAAGATGAGGAGAGGAGGGAGGGGGTCACTGCCAGGCTGCAGGAGAGACTCACTCTGCTTCCTCTGCTACATCCTCTCCCCTGACCTTTTTGAAAGCTTATTTTTTATTTTTGAACTTTCAGGTTAGAGAAAAGTTGCAATGAGTACAGAGGGTTTCCATATTTCCCTTACCCAGCTTTCCCTAACGTTAACGCCTTACGTAACAGCAGTCCAGTTGCCAGAACCAGGAAACTTACGTTGGTATAATACTATGAACGTAAAGGCTTTATTTGAATTTCACCAGTTTCGCCACATCCTTTTTCTGGATCCAGGATCCTACCCAGAGCCCAAACTGCGTTGAGCTGTTATTTCTCTTCAGTCTCCTGTCTGTAACAGTTCTTCAGTCTTTGCTTACCTTTCATAACCTTGACCCTCTGGAAGAGTACTGATGCTCTGTCATACGTACCTCAATTTGAGTTGATCTGTCATTTTCTCATGACAGGACTGAGTTTTCTGCATTTTTGGCAAGAATGCCACAGAAAAAATGCTATGTCCTTCTTAGTGCACCATTATGGGCTTTGTGATGTTGATATGAGGATGTTAAGCCTGATTACTTGATTAGGATGGTTTCTGCTGGGCTTCTTCACTATAATTATCCTTCCCTTGTATATGAATATCTTTTCCCCAATCTTTTAGAGCCAAACTTTTCAAAAGCTCTATCCCTGGGGACTAACTCCCCCAGCCCAGACCATGAGAGGCAGGCAGTACCCATTCCAGACCTGGCATTACCTGAGTGTGCCCACACGGTCCCCTGAAGCGAGATGCTGTCCGTTGGGGCTGATACACACAGAGCGAATGCCCACTCGGGGATCCATCAGGGACCCATCAGCTTTGTCTCCCCCGGGCAGCTCAGTGTCCAGCAGGGCCTGAGTGTTCCCATCCACATAGATGATCTTAATGAGGTCCTAGTGGAGCAGGTCAGGAGAAGTGGATAAGGCAGGCCTGACCCAGTACAGAAGCAAGGGGAGAGGAATGCTGGACAAGACAAAGCCTTGGCTCGCAGGGGCCAGCCAAATAAGAGCTGGAAGATCAAGGTCTGGGGACCCAGTTCCCGAGAAGGCGGTGTGAAGGTGAAGGAACGTGGGTGCTAGGCATGGAGTGGGGGCCCCATGGCTCACATTGCTGAGGATGTTTCGGTGCAGGGTGGAGCCATGCACCCCAGAGCTCTCTGTGTTCCACAGGCGGATAGTGTTGTCAGAGGAACAGGTGATAAAGGAACTGGGGGGCAGGCAGGCCTGGTTACTGTCCTTCACTTCGGGGTAGACCTGAAGGGGCAGAGGGAACAAAGTCAGAGCTCCAATTAGGGAGCAGTCCCTCGCCTGCCCACGGAGATAGAAGGGAATGAAATTGGGAGCTGATGCTGGCCAAGGCTTAGCCCACTGTCTGTCATATGGTAAGCAAGCCGTAACTATTAGATACTCTTCAAATCACTGTGGGAAAGCACATTAACCAAGCATCTACCATGTACCAGGCACTCTTCTATGTTTCCCACTCACATTATTTCACTTAATTCTTAAAACAATTAGATGAATCAGGTACATCATTTCACCACGGAGGAAATGAGGCCTGGTCAAGTTCAGCAACTCGTCCAAGATCACCCAGCCCAGGACAAGGCAAAGCTAAGGATGGACGGGGACACATTGGAAGAAGCCTGAGACATATAAGCACTAAAATTCAAGCTCAATCCTCAGGACCCATCTGAAGGTATGTGGACACACAGGGATGTTGCTGGAGAAGTGAGGAGGCAGCAGGAACATAACGTTCTACCTGGGGATCCCCACTTTCTGTCCTCACAATGGTGTCCCGGCAAACCGGGTCAGTCTCGAGTCAGCCCACCTACCTCCACACTCCAGACGCAGGAGGAATGATACAGAGCCGAGTACACCTTGCCCACTTTCTTGGGGTCCCTCACGTCCCAAACATAAATGCTGTGGTCGTTGTATACACAAGACAGCCACTGATTAGTAGGATCAAAGGTCAAGGCAATGGTGTCTGGATACCTGGCATTCGCCACTCCAGAGAAGAGGCGACTGTGGGGAAGAGGACAGAGCAAACTGGTGACTGAGGAGCTGACGAAATGAGGGATTGAGGGGAATGAAAACAGAAGCCCACCCACAAAGGAAGGAGCAGGGCACGGGAGCCCTCTCCAGACCCGCAGGTTTGGAAGCAGCTGCTTGAGAGGAAAAAGCTGCCTCTGACAGCTCTCAGCTAGGAGCTGACCCAGCACTAGCTGCTGGACCACGGTGCTCTCCTGATGAACACAAACGAGGTCACAGAACACCAACGTGAGACAAGGTAACTCTGTGGTCATGACGGAGTGAAACAAAAACAAGACCACTCTGTAGTGGTGTCTGAGACAGATAAAAACAAGATCACTGTACAAACCACAAAAATGACCAAACATCACCGTTTTCCATCTTTCAGGACTGACTGCAACTTCTTTACCAGTTACAGCTTTAGCTCCACACCTTTCCTCCCACCTTTCAAATAAAATTAAATGTCCAATTGTAGAACTGCCCCCGCTTCCTCACAGCACCCAACCAGAGCAAAACTTCAGTCCCTGGAACCAGTCCTAAAATCATCTAACACAAGCCCAAATCTGACACTAAGCCCCGCCTAACGCCTACATACTGAGACACTCCATGGTCCCCCACAGTGCATCGTGTACCAATAAAGCCACATTTGTGTGTGTGCAGAGATGTTCCTGTAATCTTTGCGGGTATCGATACACCCTTCATCTTATTTCCTGAAGCACAGGCAGGGAAGGCTGGGTGCGGAGTAAGGCTCTGAAATGGAGGCAGGGGGCCCACACAGCTCACCTGGCCTCTGTGACACTGGCAATGTCTGTCCCCAGGGCATGGGGCCGGGGCAGGGTGCTGAGGAAGTGCAGGTTAGAGGGGTTGAAGAGGCGCACGGTGCCATCAGCGCAGCCACAGAAGATGTAGTCCTGGCTCACAGAGATGCAGTGGGCCACGGTGGTCTGCAGGCAGAGCGGCTCAAGTCAGCATGGCCACCCGCTCAACCCCTCCTCAACAGTCACCTGCCAAGAGGAGACACCAGCCAAGGCAGGGGGCGAGGGGAATGCAGCCCAGCTGCTCTGGCCCGAGCCCCTCAGCTGTTATCTAGAGACGGCCCGCCCTCCAGCAGCAGGCGGCAGAGGGCTCACAGCCACGTGCAGATGGGGGATGGGAGTCCGGGAGCCATCTAAGGCACTAGAGGTTTTGGCAAAGAGGACAAAATAGGAAAAGCCCAGCAAAGAGAAAGGAACAGCGTGAGATAGAGAGGAGAGTCTAGCACCACTTACTGTGAAGCTGTCTGTGTTCTGAGCAGAAGAGGAAAGCAGGGAAAGAAAGACAGAAAGAGCAGGGAGGAGGCAGTTACACAGATCTGCTAAGGTTGGAACTGGGCCAAGCTCTGGCTCCCTCAAGCCTCTTCCTCCTGGGGTCCCCTCTTGCATGCAGGGCCCAGCCCCTGTACAGACAGTCCTCCCCTGAGGGGAGCCCCACCCACCCCACCGGGACAGAGGTACTTACTCTCAGCTCCACCCACTTATCCAAGAGCCTCCGATCACTGAACTCGCACAGCAGCCCTGAGGACGTGATGCAGAAGGTGCTGTCCGCTTTCCTGCCTCGGCCACATGCCACGTCGGTGAACAGGTTGTTCCGCAGCTCCCCCAGCAGCCCGGAGCGTCCCAGCAGGGGCACGGTGGCATTCACCTGTGGAGATGTGACACTGTCGCCCACCCATCGCCCGGGGGCCGCCCTGGAAACCAGGCCCTGGGGAGAGGGAGGGAGGAGGCGCAGCAAGGCTCCCTTGCCCTCTGAGACTACCCCTCGGCCCAGACAGCATCTGGCTCATCCAGAACTTCTGGATGGCTGTTGAGAAAGCAGAGGGGCCCAAGGGGAGCAGTCTCCTGGGGTGGGCTGAGTAGACCCTGGCCCTGGGGGCTACTTCCAGCCTGAGCACCTCACCTTTGAGGTCTTACTGTCATCAAGGTACCAGAATTTGATGTGCCGGTTGCCAGCAGTGACAAAGTAGCTACAATCTTCAGAGAAGGACACCGCAGTGACCCGACTGGACACCTTATTGGAGGCCACCACAATGTTTTTCTGGAAGGAAAGCCAAAGGAAGAATCGAAGTTCTGCCTCTTGGAGCTAAGATGAAAGAGGCTCAGAGGATGAAGGAGGGTTAGATAGGATTTGTACTTTAAAAAATGTTTCTTTCCAGGATTTACTGGTCAGAAAAAGAGGGAAGGAAGGAGAATCCTTTTCCAGAGGAGTTGAAGAGATTCATTGCCTCTGGAGGTCCTCGAGGCACAAAGCTAGCCTCTTTCTAACAACACGCTTGGCTACACAGTTGCTCTTTTCTGCTTCAGGTCATTTTCTAGAATAAAACTGAGATCAGCAGGGAGGAATGAAGGGGTTCAGGTTCCCAACTGGCCCTTGGACCCCCAAGAGGCTGCGAGGCCAGCCCACCCGGCCCACTCACCTTCCAGGCCCAGACGTTGACGATCATGTCATGTTGGTAGCCCACAGAGACAATGTACTTGGCACTAGGGGAGAAGGCCACACAAGCCACGCCATACTTATGCTCCTGCAGCTCCGCCACCTGGCTATGCTCGGCCACATCCCAAACCCGCACGGCAGGCATGTGCCCACTCTGCAGGGAGGCAAGAACTGGAAGTGAGGGCCAGAGGCACACAGCCTCCCCTAGCCTTTCAGGGTGGGGCCTACCTCTCCAGCTACTGGGCACAGTCTCTCTAATGAGCCCCCGGTCCAAAGCAGAGTGCTACACAGGGCAAAAGCGTAGAGGAAACATGATAAATATCTCAGGACAACAACGATTATCAGAGAGAAAACACCCCCAGATTTGGTTCAGTATCTCTGGGTGAGGGTCTGCGCCTCTGTGTTTGTTCAAAGCTCCTAGAGGGATCCTGATAGGCAGCCAGGGTTGAGAACCACCACCACCCACGCCTATGCCTCCCTGTAAGAGACTGAGAAGGGAGAGGTGTCCCTCATGCGCCCAGCAGGGGGCCCCCAGGCACAAGGAATATCTTACGGCAGTGGTTTTCAAAGTGTGCTTCCCAAACCAGCAGAATCAGCATGATTTGGGAACTTGCTAGAAATGCAAATTTTGGGGCCCCCCCCTCCCAAACCTATAGAACCAGAAACTCTGGGAGCAGGCCCAGCAATGTGCACTTTAACAAGCCCTCCAGCTGATTCTGATGCCCACTAAGACTTCAGCACCACTGTTTTAAGGTGCAGCCAAAACCGGGATTTGGCATCCGTTCAGGAAGCCAGAGCGGCAGCAGCCCTAACCAGGCCCAGGACTGTAGCTCTCTGCTGAGGCCAGGCCACCCACCCTCTTCAGAGTACTGCGGCCCCCCTTCCACACTCACCTCTCCAGTGACCAAGTACTTGCCATCAGGGGAGAAGGCAAGGGCAGTGATGGTCTTCCTGCAAGAAATGAGGCAGGCTCAAAGGGGCACTGGCAGCCCGGCCTAAGACCGGCTCCCTCACAGTCCCCTCAAAAGGCAAGACCGGCAGACACCAACGGCACGTGTGACATTTCCCTAGCTGGCCCTGGGGCCCAGTCCCAGTCCCCAGAGCCACAGAGACCTCAGACAGTGCCCTTCTCACAGACTCCAGGAGATGCCCTGAGGGCCCAGACCCATTTACCTGGAACTGTTGAGGATGTGGTGCTGTTTGTGTTTCCGGGGATTGAACAGCACGACCACACACCTGGGGAGATGAGTGAGACAAGTGACTTCAGCACCAAACCACAGCTCCCCCAGGAGCTCCAGGCCCCCAGGCCAGGGAGCTGGGGCGAGCCAGCTCAAGGGGGCTCCACTTGCCACTGAGGGCAACTGACCGCTTTCTTCTGGCAATTTGCTCTTCCCACTTCCTTTCCCACCCATAAGGGCCCATCTCTGAAGCCTCGTGAGGGTGAAAGGGCTCTCTGCAAGCCTAGCCCCACCAGGTCCCTAAGCACCAGCGCCATCTCTGCCGCAAAGGGCAGCAGGGACCCAGGCCTTCCCACAATCCTTGCACAGCCCAGGAAGGGGGGCAGGAGGGAAGAACTCACGTGATTTGAGCAAAGCAGGCCACAGGTATACCTACAGCCAGTGCGACGTGGAGCCACACGTGTGTCAAGTATTTGAGCTCCGAGGAGTGAGGCCTCTCACGTGTGTGCCCACCTGTGTACTTGGCAGGAGCCAACCCCCCCCCCCAGCCCCCACACACACCCTCTACGCGTCAGGTGATGGAGCGGGCGGGAGGCAGGGGACCAGAACCGCTACGAGGCTCGGTACGACTAGAGGGAGGGGCAGAGAGAGCCTGAGAGGGCCTGGGGAAGCCCAGTCCCAAGAATCCCTGGTCCCGAGGAACCTGAGACGGACCCTCCAGACTGCCAGAAGACAATGGGAGAAGGCTGGGAGCACCCTCTGCAGCCAGAAGGCAAGGCTGGATGAGATCAGGCTCAGACTGACTTTCCAGAGGCAGCTCCAGAGGGGAGGCCAAGTGGTAGGACTTGGGGGCAAGAAGCGGGAAGCTATGGACAGCAGTGTTCTCCCTCAGGCTTCCCGGCTATCAGCATGCCCAGGGGCCCACAGCCCTTCTGCCTCATTGCTTCATCAGAACTGTAACTAGCTGACAGGAGCAAAGGTGGAGCCTGCTACACCAGGTAAGGGGATGGGGAGAGAAGGCTGAGAGGGCTACGTCCTCCAGACTCAGCCTGGTTTAGTGGGAAGGCACTGCAGACCCCACATCTGAAACCCACCGCTTGCCAGAAACTTGAAACGAAGGCAGGTAGTGAGGGCTCAGCATCTCAGGCTCAATAAACCACTTCCATATGCAAATGCCACAAGTAATCACTGGGGTCACTGGGATCTCGGAGGGACACCAGCTCTGCCCAGAACTGCCAGGCTGATGGACAGCCTTGGAATTCCTGAGTCACATCATCTTTTCCTCTAGTCCCCTCCCCCAAATCCCTCCTCACTGTTTTCTTCCTTCTTCTCTCTCCTTCTCCTAAGCTTTGTTTCCTTTCTCCTTCTCTCTTTATACCAACTTCCAGTCTCCCACTTCCGTTCTAGAATGCCACGTTAGGAGGGTTTTTAAAAATATGACCCAAGTCAGATGGCTTTGGAAACTCTGTGCCCCATCACTCTCCCTCCCCCATCCCAAAACACACACACACACACAAGCACACTGTCCAGCTTCTGTGAGGGGCAGTCCAGGATACAGGGGGCCTACTTCCTCCAAAACAGGTAAGATTCATAAAACCTTAGAGTCGGAAGGAAGGATGGAAGGAATTAAACGCACTGTGCTAGATGACTTGAAAGATCACCTGGTCCAACCCTCCAAAATTTTGAGGTGAGGAAACCTAGGGTCCTATAAAGAGCAGAGCCAGGATTCATAGCTCTTCCAGCATCCAGGCCTCTTTACATCAAACACGCACAACTCTGATCTGTGTCACCCCTTGCTGAACATCCCTGGGGAGCTTCTAAGATCCAACCCCTTAAGTACCATGAAGGCCCTGGGTGGTGTGGCCCCTGCCCATGCTCCAGCCTCACCCTGCACCATGCTCCAACCACATCCTTTCACTCCCTTTAGCTTGCTATGCTCCTCTGACTCCAGGCCTTTGCTAGAGCGCCTTCCCTTGTCTAGAGCATTCTTCTCTCCCTTTTCCAACTAGTTAACACATAGTCCTCTTTCGGATCTCAGGTCAGATGGCCGCAGTATATGCTCTCACAGCACAGTTGTATCAATCTTCTGTGACATTTATCACAACTGCAATTTTACAATTTTTTAATTTTAAAATGTATTTTATTGAAGTGTACTTGATTTACAGTGTTGTGTTTAATTTCTGCTGTACAGTAAAATGACTCATTATACATATATATACATTCTCTTTCATATTCTTTTCCATTATGGTTTATCACAGGATGTTGAATATAGTTCCCTGTGCTATACAGTAGGATATTTATTGTTGATTGCCTCCCCCACCAGACTGTGTCTCCCATGAGGGTGGGAACTGTGCCTGATTTTGCTCACTGTTTTGTCTCCTGTGCCTAGCAGAGTCTGGCCCAACACAGTTATTCAAGAACCGCTTATTGAATGGATGAATGCCTCCCTTGGCCCACTAGCTTGGTCTACTGGGGTATCCGTAGGCCCAGCTCTCCTCCCTACTGCATGCCCCACCTGTCTTCTATGGAAGGCAGCACCGAGGATCTCCAAATCCTCAGAGGCAGTGTGGGACAGTGGGGACACTGTGAGCTTTTGAGTCGGAGACCAGGGTTTGAGTCCTTGTTCTGCCATGTACAGCTTTGTGACCCTGGGTAAGTCACAAGCCTGTTTCATTATCTGTTAAAAAGGAGCCACAAGGATCAAGCTCTCGGGACTTCTGTGAAGATCAAATATTTTTTTTTGGACACAGAGTGCGAGCCAAACAAACGGCAAATCTTACTATTACTCCCCCTGGAACATGGACAGGAAGCCAATGGACAGGGACTCCTGGCAGTGAGGAACAAGGTGCTCAGGGGCTGTGTCAGGTTTTTCCTTCAGAAAAACGGAGGTGAGTACTGTTAGGATCTGAGTAATGGTAAAAACTCTAAAGGAGGCTTCCTTTAAAGTTCTGGGAAGGCAGCCAAGGAAGGAGAGCTGGGTTAAGCCTGGGGAAAGAAAATATCTACATCTTCATCCACTTAGGGGATGATAAGCTTGGAAGGTAGCAAGGAAGGGATGGGGGAAATGCTGAGGGAGAAACTACCTCAAGTGACTAGGACAGCAGCACAGAAGCACAGAAGGAGAATGGAAGTGGCACCTCCTGGCTAAGTTAAAAAGTACCACGCACGAGTTTCAACGAACTCTAAGCATGAAGGCCTTCACTTCCTTTCATAACCAGTCTACTGCTCTTCACACTGTGGGCCCAATAATAAGAGTTACCATTTATCCAGCACTTTCTGTGTAGCAGGCACTCTGCTAAGCACCTTAGAGGTCTGGTCTTAGCTAATCCTTACGACAAGCTTGTGATGCTGGTACAATCAGCCCCACTTCAGTGTACAGAAACTAGTTCAGAGGTCTTATTCAAGGCCTCTCAGCTAAAGCAAAAGAGAGTCAGGATTCCAGAAGCTGTGCTCTCAGTAAAGCAGAGTGGAGTAAGTGAGAGAAAGGAGAGAAAACTGAAGCTGAAAAGGAGAGACAAACACAGAAAGCACACTGACTGACCTAACGCACAGAGCACCAGGGCAGGAGCCTCTGAGAAGAGGCAGAGAAGACTGGGGCGCTTGGAGGGAAAAAGGATTCTGGCTACAGAATCTTTGGAAATCATAACAGGGCACATGAAAATTATAGCAGTTATAGTTCAAAGTTCATAGATCTAGATATTTAGATTTTAATATTTTATTCAGTGTGTGAAAAATGATAACCCCCAGGCCTGCCACCATCACGCAAAGCCCACCAAGTTTTCGGGAGAGCTGACGTTCTCTTGCTATCTGTGCCGCCCGGCTAAGGCAGTCCTCTGCCGGCTCATCCTCTCTGGTGACGGCCTCCAGTCTGAATGGTGCTGGGTTACCTAGCTTTCGGATCAGCTCCAGATAAACCACAGCAGAGGGGTTCAGCGCAGAGCTGATCTGACTTGAAATGAACTGATGCAGATTCCGACAGCCTCATTCCAAATCCAGAAAAAGTAGGTGATGAGGGTTTCTTTAAACCCGAAGCAGCATGGTGGCCTTTCAAGGGCGGCTGAGAACACTCCCCAAGTCACCGCACATAAATTCTGAGTCTTGCTGGGCCATCCTCTGTTTCCTGTCTCCCCTAGGTTGGACTCCATGGCGGAAGAAGGAGGGAGAGCAGCACGTGTGTGTAAAAAGACAATGCAGACAGACGATGACTAGCTATGAGGCAACCTCTCCCTTCTCTAACACCTCCCAACCCCCACCCCCCAGTGTAGCCTGGAAATTCTCATGTGTGTCATGGGAGAGTTAAGCAGAGGAGGGAAACACACACAGGTAGGGCAAGTTGAAATTTTTACTTCTAATTATTCAAATTTGGAAACCTTCCAACACAGAGAAAGAGGAAAAAAGAGAGCAACCCTCGGTCACAGCTCCACTTGTGAGGGCAATAACGCAGATGGTGAAGGCAGAACTTGGCAAAGACCTCCAAGGTCCCCCTGTGCCCAGCTTGCTGAGGTCCTCCCAAGAGAAAAGACCTCATGTGGGGCTTCCCTGGTGGCGCAGTGGTTGAGAGTCCGCCTGCCGATGCAGGGGACGCAGGTTCGTGCCCCGGTCCAGGAAGATCCCACATGCCGCGGAGCAGCTGGGCCCGTGAGCCATGGCCTCTGGGCCTGTGCGCCCGGAGCCTGTGCTCCGCAACGGGAGAGGCCACAACACTGAGAGGCCCGCGTACTGCCAAAAAAAAAAAAAAAAAAAAAAAAAAAAGCACGGATGTGGGAGCCTCCTCAGTCTTCTCTGACCTTTGAGCAAGTTTCTCAGTCTGCTAGGGAGGGAAGGGTGGGGTGCAGTTTGCACCAATCTTTGGCCCTTGGTCTCCACATCCCTTGACCCTGGCCAGCACAGCAGGCAGTCACTGGCACGTGCCCTTGCAGCAGTAATGGCTGCAATCCTCCATATGATAGGGCTGGGCTGGCCCAACAGGCTGAGTCCTGTAATTCAGAACCCCAGGGTACAGGCACAGGGAGTCTGCTCACTCTCATAGGGAAGCAGTGAGGCCTCAGTCCCTCGGGG